AATACTGCTTCAAGATATAATGCTTATCCAATGTCCTGTGATTTCATGTTTCAATGTAAAACAATTTATTGTAAAATATTTTGAATCTAAACTAAATATGAAATAAATACACTCATTAAAAACCTTACTCTATTTAGTACGTCAACGGGTTTTAATAACTGGTTATTGTGGTCTAAAAGATAACCTACATAAACGTTGATTATCTGCCAATTCGGAATGCAGACAACTATGCATATTCTTTGTGACCGTCCAGCTTCAACAATGCACAGAAGAAACTTATTTCATATGGAGTTTCTGTCACCAGAACAGATCAAGAGCTCTTTTCTGGATTTAGTTCTGGACTTTGTTCACAAGCTATGTAAAGGGATTTGTATAATTAAAAGTGAATTTGGTATAATAGGACTCTTCTGACCGTAGTACTGGCTGTCAAGTGATTTGAGGACAAAAGTTTTAATATAAAATAAATACGTCATCATCATTGTTCAATAAGACGTCATTGTCAAAAAAAACTTTCAGTGTTCAATAATATGATATTGTATTTTTATTTAATGGTGTTGGCTACTATATTAGAAGAAGTATTTGTAACACATTTTTTTCTTATCTTATTGCAATATATCTTATTCCGTAAGATATAGACAATTTTCTTTCATAAGAAATTTTTGTATAACGAAATATTGTTAATACTATTAAGGCTTATAACTGAATCGTTATTATTAGTTTCTATGCCATATTTGTGAAGATATCGAAGCACTAATTGTAAATTGAGATAAACTACTTAAAAGACTTCATTTCATTGTAATATAAAACTTTATACGTACGAAAATTGTCCGTACCTTCAATAAATTTTAGTAATAATTTTTAATTTTAATCTTTTTAAAAATAATTTTGACATGCACGAAATAATAGTTATTCTATTCTATTGACTAAATTCCCAAAAAGTTGATATGTAATTCTATTAGAATAATTAACTAAAGCTTTAAATTTTTGAAGTTTGAATAAAAGCTTCACAAAATTGTTCATATCCTTAACTGAATAAAAAAATTAGATGATTTGGGTCAAAAATTTTTTTTTCACTCTCTACAATATTGTTTATTATAGTTTCTTAACATTTTCTAGTAAAAATTATTTTATTTAATTTTTTTTTTTTTTGCGAAAAAAACTTTTAAGGTGCCGTACTTTTACTTTAACATAAAATAAAAATTATTTCAGAAAGTGAATAAATTCAACCACAAACAAAAAAAAATACTCATTTCATTTTTAAATTAAACATTTTGAAGGAATTTTCATCCATTGATTACTAGTGAGGTTCTACTTACATCCATGTTGGTACACCCTGCAATGCTGTTGTCTCATTTAAGACAACACCAAGGAGTAACGCTGCACTAATCCACAGTGAAAAATGTTTCCTTTTAAGAAATTCCATTTTGACCATTTCACAGCCAACACAGGCAGACGCTGAAAAATAGAAAAACTGTGGCTCTATGAACGTCCTCGACGCGTTTGTCGTTCACTTGTTTTTATAGTTGCGGTTATTATTATTACAATTGTTGTAACTGTTGTAACTGTTGTAACTGTTGTAACTGTTGGTTTGGTTGCACTTTTACTAGTTTTTCACCAATAAATTACTTTTTCCCACAAAGAATGTTTATTATTAGCTGAATTTTTTGTATATTTCCCTTACACTTGCTTTGTGTGAAAACGTGTTTTCAGGAGTTGAAGTCCAGTAATAAACTTTTTCCTCACGATACTCTTTGGGTTTAACGGATATCCGGTTTATTTTTCACTTCTTAGCAGCACCATGACTCACATTATTAATCACAATTGCACGCAACTCTATTACTAACTCTTTTCTTAAAATTGTTCGTTCTTGGTTTCTCGATTTTTTACGACATCACTCCGTAAATTACGTGAAAGCACTTATTTAATGCAATTTTTCATTTTTCTGACACTAATGACATTTTATTGTTATAATATTTCAATTGAGAACGAAAGAAAGCAACACTTTTTATCACTTATCACTTACTATATTTAGTATTCTATTTTCTTGTATTAGATTCTGAGAGTCTTTATTAGTTTCCTTATTGTTCGGTGCGGCTGGCATTCAAAGTATCAAAGTATCAAAGTATCTGGCGTGTTTTGTTCGGATGCCTACAAATTTGTGTCATCAGCTGAAAGAAATA